ACACAGAGCACTTGAATGGCCTCTCGCCCGTGCGTGTTTTTTGGTGACTGCTAAGAGTTGTTTTCTCCGCAAATGCCTTCACACACACAGAACAATTGAATGGCTTCTCGCCTGTATGTGTTTTCTTGTGAGTGTTAAGCTTTGATTTCTGTGCAAATGCCTTCCCACACACAGAGCACTTGAATGGCTTCTCGCCCGTGTGTGTTTTCTGGTGAGTGTTAAGATTTGATTTCTGTGCAAATGCCTTCCCACACACAGAGCACTTGAATGGCTTCTCATCAGTGTGTATTTTCTTGTGAGTGTTAAGATTTGATTTCTGTGCAAATGCCTTCCCACACGCAGAACAATTGAATGGCTTCTCGCCCGAGTGTGTTTTCTTGTGAGTGTTAAGACTTGATTTGTGTGCAAATGCCTTCCCACACACAGAGCAATTGAACGGCTTCTCGCCCGTGTGTGTGTGGCACTGTGGAGAGTTCATCTGCTCCATGTGACTGATTCTACAGAGCAGAGTAAGAGTCGCGGGTTTTGTTGAGAGTTAACGGCGCCCTCTAAGCTGCGTGGCTCACGCAGCTTGTTCTCGACTTGGCCTATCATGGACTTTGCATTCAATTGTTAATTTTTACATTAACAATCCGCATATCAATCAACATAGCTTAGCTAATCTGGCCATTGTAATTAGCCCTTAATAAGTATGTACATCCCACTGCATAATTGTACACTTCCGTTTGAGTAAAGATGTACATCTCCATGCATAATTCCGTGCTTCCTGTTAATTTGCTAATATTCACCCCGCAATGTCCTCTACACTGCTGCAAGTTTTTCAGGATTTAATGGCGACACACAGTCTGAAGTATCAAAATAAAGATGTCGAGTTTGATTTGGACTAAGAGGTGCAAATTTATACCGTACTGACTTTGTTTCATAAATATATTCAAGGACACTCGTGTTGAGCAGGGTGCTTCTAGCAAACGAGTGTTATGTTATGATTTCTATCATAATCTTTGAATAATCATCTGAATGGTTTAGCCTGTAAGCGTGGTTTATAATAACGTTGTGCAAAAAAACAATCGTCACTATTTATTCTGTAACATACGACCTTCGGTGTGTGTATCTACACCACTGTGTATTTGTGTTCAATATTTTGCAGGTGTTTAATATTTTTTGACGTGTTTTTTTGGTTCTTGCATTGAATATTGAGGGGTTACCAGCCCCTCGCACCCATCCAGAAACTCGTCAACACGCTATGAAGCATGCACTTCTTAGTGTCAGTATATATCCATTAACATTGCAAGATTTTATACTGTATTTCACAGGTAAGGCTGATAAATCGATCACAGTTTGCAGGCCATTGTAAGTGTGCAAACTAACAACATGCACGTAATTATGGAAGGAGATGCCCATCCGTATTCAAACGGAAGTGAACAATGATGCAGTGAAATAAACATTCCTACTTAGGTTTAAGCACAATCCCCACATGAGCTTAGGTATGTTGATAGATGTGAGGAGCGTCACTTCCGCGATTACAATTGAATGCAAGGAAGTTAATGAAGAAAATTACAAATGATTCTAGAGAGATTACTTAAATGGGAAGAATAATCTCAACCAGTGTGCCGTAGCAAATGCAACAAATGGAATTAAATAAGCAAAACTAATGACTTCACTACACTCATTAAACATGGGGGCACTATTTAAAACATTATTAATAATTCCATGCGTTTGTAGTGGAATACAGAGAATGAATTAGAATGGAACGCGTTTCTGTCATTCGCGTAACGTTCTTCAGTGATGAGGGGCATCTAAGATTCAGATCGTCAGTTTAATCAGTGAAAATAATCACAAAACCCCGCTATCCTAGTCTGCTACTGTATGTATGTACATGGATCTGTACTACTGTGTATGTCCACTCGTGTGTTTATTTACACTCGTTGATGTGGATATGTACACGCGTGAATGTGTGTATAGGTATGTACTATCATTTGTTCGCACATTTGTTCGTGTAGTAGAACGCAATCCCTGTGTACGTACACTGCTGTGTATGCACGCTCCTTTGTGTATGCGCACTCTTGTATGCATGTGCAGCCGTGTGTGTATGCCTGGGTATTGATACCATCGGGCATTGAGTGGACTTGCCGATGACTGGTACCAGCGGAGTCAAGATCGGCTTAGCTAATCTGGCCATTGTAATTAAACCTTAATATATATGTAGATCCACTGCATATTTGTATGCTTTCCTTTGAATAAAATGTACATCTCCATGCATAATTCCGTGCTTCCTGTTAATTTGCTAATATTCACCCCGCAATGTCCTCTACACTGCTGCAAGTTTAAAGGATTAAACAGCGACATAAAGTCTAAAGAATCAAAATGCTGTTGTCCAGTTTGATTTGGACTAAGACGTGCAAATTGATACTGTACCCATTTTGTTTTAAAAAAGAATATGTTTAAGGACACTCGTGTTGAGCGGGGTGTTTCTAGAAAACGAGGTTGATATGTTCTAATTTAAGTCATAAACTTTGAGTAATCATCTGAATGGTTTAGCTTGTAAGCGTGGTTTAACGTAACGTACCGCAAACAAATCAATCATCATTATTTAGTCTTCAGTGTGTATGTATATTATTGTGTATGTGCTCAATATTTTGGACGTTTTATTAATATTTTGGACGTGTTTTTGTTACGGTAATTGCATTGAATATGGAGGGTTACCAGCACCTCGCACCCGTCCAGAGACCTCGTGGGCCGCTGTGGTGGCTACGAGACTTCCCACAAGGACATTGCTCTTATCCAACACAGCGTTACCGACCGGGAACGCCGACGACGTTGAAGGTTGTTAATACAGAACTTTATTCGTGGCAGGGGAATGCCAAACAACATGGAGTGGCTCTTCTTCTGAGAAAAATAAATACCGTATATGTATGTGTGTGTATGTATGCAGGTAAAATCGTGCGTGTTCGCAGTGGAACGCAATCCTTGTGTTCGTACACTGCTGTATATGTCTGTATGTACACCCCTGTATATGCACACTCGTGTGTGAATGCACACGGCTGTATATATACAGTCGTGTCAGGATGCACACTCGTGTGTGAATGTCAACTCGTCCATGTTCTTTTAAAGGAATGAAATGGTAGCAATAATGTACGAACAGTCATCTTTAAAAACACAAATCAGGTCTTTATTTATCTGCAACAATATCAACGTTAAAACTCGCATCAAAATCTTTATTCGATTTTTCATACAAGTTAAGGAACTACGAAAATGTTTTCACTTTCAACAGTCATAAAATATTCTCAAAATCAAACACGTGAACGTCTTAATCCTTCCAAATTGACGTCCTTATCGACTGAAGCCATTGATCCACAAGTCCAAGCCATCAAACACAGGAACAACGAACGCACATTGATACCGACAGTTTGAAGTAGTTTTTTTATTAAACAATAAAGAAAATGAAAGAAAAACGTGTAAAATATGGGGCAACGTTATGATCACAGTTTTTCTCCAACTTTAGCTCAACAAGACCACTTAGTCACGAGAATAAATTCAGGAATTGGACCACCTCACAACCACTGTGCATCACACAACTTCAACAAGTATTCCGATATGACTACTTAGCACCACCTTAACGTGACGAAGTCTAGAAGTCACTTCAACACTCAAGTAGCTGTGAGAAGATGACAACACGTGGCACCTTCTACCATAAACACCACACATTTAACAGTGCCGATTATACAACCACCAGACGAAGCAACGCATCTATCGAAGTATAAAATTGTTGTCATCCTGAAATAAGTGAACAATTCTGCAACTTAAAAGCAATACTTTTTTCGGAACACATCTTAGAGCATTCACAACATCACTCTGGCTTGGAGTACGGAAGTAATCATTTGAACCTTATTGATTGATCTAACAGAGACACAAACATGCACGTTCCAGGACTTCAAGAGTTAACAGAAGTACTCAATACTTTGACCCTCCAGCCACTCCAGCAGCCATCTCTCAGTATCTACCTGCATGTGGTCGAAAGAGGAATTGTTGTCAGGGCTCATTACATCCAGCAATCTCTCAGGATCCAACTGCATGAGGTCGAAAGAGGAATTGTTGCCAGGAGTCATTACATCCACTACATCCAGGCATCTCTCAGGATCCACCTGAATAGGGTCGACAGATGCATTTTGTTCAGGACTCACTGCAGCCCTTTGCATTACACCTTTTGATTTCACTTCCCTCTCATTGCAGATCTTCGCATACTTGTTTCGGGGTGATGACCGTGTCCTCTCTAACGGAGAACAATTGAATGGCTTCTCACCCGTGTGTGTTTTATGGTGTCTGTAAAGAGTTGTTTTCCGTGCAAATGCCTTCCCACACACAGAACAATTGAATGGCTTCTCACCCGTGTGTTTTCTGGTGTCTGTTAAGATTTGTTTTCCGTGCAAATTTCTTCCCACACAATGAGCAATTGAATGTCTTCTCGAACGTGTGTGTTTTCTTGTGACTGTGAAGATGTGATTTCTGTGCAAATGCCTTCCCACACACAGAACAATTGAATGGCTTCTCGCCCGAGTGTGTTTTCTTGTGAGTGTTAAGACTTGATTTGTGTGCAAATGCCTTCCCATACACAGAGCAATTGAACGGCTTCTCGCCCGTGTGTGCGTGGCACCGTGGAGAGTTCATCTGCTCCATGTGACTGATTCTACAGAGCAGAGTAAAAGTCGCGGGTGTTGTTGAAAGTTAACGGCGCCCTGTAAGCTGCGTGGATCAAATCGCCAAAAAGCAAACTCTCACGAACGTCCAACCGAGACACAGTAACGCCCCGTAAGACGGACTACACACGCGATTACCAGGTTATCCACTAACAAAGACACTTACTTGTTGATGCACGGTGTATCAATGATCCTGTAACCCATCTGAAGAGATCGCCACGAACTCTTCCGAAGCAACGTCGCCAACCAGTCGCCAAGCAATCGTGCTCACCAGTCTGGGTCTCGCAGGAGAGGGGAAATCTGCAGAGCAATGAGTCGAGCGTCTATCCTCAGTAAAATTCCTCTCCAAATAGTCTTGAGGTCTGATTTTAAGCCCCTTATAACTCTCCTCTAGCATCCAAATCCTTTGTTCTCGACTTGGCCTATCATGGACTTTGCATTCAATTGTTAATTTTTACATTAACAATCCGCATATCAATCAACGTAGCTTAGCTAATCTGGCACATTGTACTTAATCCTTAATAAGTATGTACATCCCACTGCATAATTGTACACTTCCGTTTGAATAAAGATGTACATCTCCAAGCATTATTCTGTGCTTCCTACACTGTTTCAAGATTTTCAGGATTTAAAAGCGATACACAGTCTGAATTATCAACATAAAGAGTTTTATTTGGACTAAGAGGTGCAAATTTACACTGTACTGACTTGGTTTCATGAATATATTTAAGGACACTCGTGTTGAGCGGGGTTTTTCTAGAAAACGAGGATGTTGTGTTCTAATTTCCGTTATAAACTTTGAGTAATCATCTGAACAATATTGAAAATTAAATAAATTGTTTAAAATATAGGGCAACGTTATGGTCACAGTCTTTCTCCAACTTTAGCTCAACAAGACCACTTAGTCACGAGAGTAAAATCAGGAATTGGACCACCTCACAACCACTGTGGATCACACCACATCAGCAAGTAATCCGATATGACTACAAAGCACCACCTTAACGTGACGAAGTCTAGAATGAACTTCAACACACAAGTAGCTGTGAGAAGATGACAACACGTGGCACCTTCTACCATAAACACCACACATTTAACAGTGCCGATGATACAACCACCAGACGAAGCAATGCATCTATCGAAGAATACAATTGTTGTCATCCTCAACTAAGTGAACACTTCTGCAACTTTAAAGGCATACTTTTTTTCCGAACACATCAGAAAGCATTCACAACATCACTCGAGCTTAGTGTACGGAAGTAATCATTTGAACCTTATTAATTGATATAACTGAGACACAAACATGCACATTCCAGGACTTCAAGAGTTAACAGAAGTACTCAATACGTTGACCCTCCAGCCACTCCAGCAGCCATCTCTCAGTATCTACCTGCATGTGGTCGAAAGAGGAATTGTTGTCAGGGCTCATTACATCCAGCAATCTCTCAGGATCCAACTGCATGAGGTCGAAAGAGGAATTGTTGCCAGGAGTCATTACATCCACTACATCCAGGCATCTCTCAGGATCCACCTGAATAGGGTCGACAGATGCATTTTGTTCAGGACTCACTGCAGCCCTTTGCATTTCATCTTTTGATTTCACTTCCCTCTCATTGCAGATCTTCGCATACTTGTTTCGG